GCTGACAGCTATTCTACTCAACCACTGGAGAGGAGCACCCAAATAAGCGGATAATTGAATTTGTGTAATTATATAATTACATATGTCAAAATCAATGAGGTAGACAGAAAAAGTATACATATGATGAATAACATAGAGCAACACAGGCATTCGCAGTAAAACATACATGTATACAGTTCGCCGTCCCTGGCGTCCAGCGTTGCCTACACGCCCGCAAAGTCGCATTTTTGTTCGGATGCGTCGCTTGTTATAAATGACGAATATTTGCAGAATAAAAGCGAATGAAGCGATATAATCATATATTAGAAAAAAATTCGCCAGTTTTGCTTAATTATACACACATAATAATAATAATAATAATAATAATAATAATAATAATAATAATAATAATAATAATAATAATATCGTCATCGTCATCATCGTCGTCGTCGTCGTCATCGTCGTCGTCGTCGTCATCGTCGTCGTCATCGTCATCGTCTTTTAATTTCAAAGAAAATTCAGTATAATAAAAAAATATATGATACCAGTGGCGAAGTCTGGCTGACAGCTATTCTACTCAACCACTGGAGAGGAACACCAAAATAAGCGAATAATTGAATTTGTTATTAAATAATATATAATTACATATGTCAAAATCAATGAGGTAGACAGAAAAAGTATACATATGATGAATAACATAGAGCAACACTGGCATTCGCAGTAAAACATGCACGTGCAGATTTTGCTTTTAACTTTTAAAAACTATACAGGGTGTACAAAGACAGGATTAACATACATGTATACATATATAAGAGTTACACAATAATAAATAAATAAAAAGTTGAATATACAACATTGTATCATTGATCCTACTGCATATCAAAAAAATAACGTTTTAGTTGGAATTTGAACTTGTTCATATTAAGAAGCTTCAATTCTTGTGGCAGCTGATTATACATCTTGATAGGATTATACAGGGTGACGCTTCGAAAATGAAACAGACGCATTTACCGGCAGCTCAGTTTTTTTTTGAAAAAACGCTCAGACCCGTCGATTTTGTGCCTTTTTGGTAAGAATACCCCTATACATGGTAATTATATGTTAAAATGCTTTAAATGCGGTTCAAATGACCCTTATTCCACGTATTTTGGGCTGCTCATATCGAATCCGAGGTCGTTTCATATGTATGTGATCCCGTTTATGATGTAGATCTATACTAAGTGACATAAATCCGAACACCCAGTTTAAATGGTTTTAGTTTAATAAAATTTTGTATAAGTACTTAATGAAGCATAATAAGTAAATTATAAACATTTCAAAATGATTGCACTGCTTTAAAGCCCTTTGACCTTTAATAATGTGTGGATGCACCCTGATGTGCTACGCATTCTCCAACGCGCCTAGGCATGCTTCTGATCAGGTGGTCAATGTCCTCCTGTGGTATCTCATTCCAGGCAACCACCAACTCCTCTCGAAGTGCTTCTAGAGTCTGAGGAGGACGTTGCAAATTGAGCAATCTCCTACCCATCATATCCCACACGTGCTCAATTGGGGATAAGTCGGGAGATCTTGGTGGCCATGGTAACAATGTGACATCATTATGTTGAAAGAGGTCTATTGTGACTCTTGCAACATGTGGTCGGGCATTATCTTGTTGGAAAGTTGGATCTGCCAGGGTGTCAAGATAGGGTAAAAGATGGGGTTCTAGAACTTCGTGGATATAACGCTGCGCGTTCATGATACCTCTGATGAAGATTAAAGGTGACCTGGAACCATAAGCTATAGCACCCCAAACCATAACTCCAGCAGTGTGATGAACATGTCTTTCAACAAAAAACTGTGGATTCCTCCTTTCACCACGTCGCCTTCTAACCCTGGCACGACCATCGTGCATGTCTAAACAAAATCGAGACTCGTCACTAAAGACAATACTGTTACATTCTTGATCCCAGAGTGACCGTTGTCTGCACCACTCAAAGCGATTACGTCGGTGTTCTCGAGGTAAAGGGAGGACCCAGTGTGGCCGGTATGAAAACAAGCCAAAACTTCTCATTCGTCGGTAAACACTTCGCATGCCAATAGGTATTCCGTGTTCTGCAAACCATTCATTTGCAATGGACCTGGTAGTGGAGAAACGGTCCCTTAAGGCCAATAATCTTAGGCGGCGATCTTCACGGTCTGTTGTTCTACGGCGGCGTCCAGTGCCCCTTGCTCTTTGCGTACGGCCTTCTCGAAGCCATGCCTGACAACACCTAACCACAGTGTCTACACTTCTTTGCACTCTAACTGCAATTGCCCGAAAAGAAAGTCCAGCTTCCCGAAGTCCCACTATACGACCCCTATCAAACTCACTAAGTTGACGAAATCGTACAGGTCTCCGTACTCTAGGCATCGTAACCGATCGTAAAGGATGTCAAGAACCAAAATCCGCCAACGTTGATTCTTTACTGCGGCCGAAATATTCATTTTTAGAGCGTTAGTGAATTAAAAAAAAGCAGTATAAAAACCGGAATGTCCAACTGATAAGGCTGAAAATTTTTTCACTTGTTATTTACAGTAAGTATTTATCTTTCACCAACTTTTATTAAAATAAAACCATTTTCGAATTTACATGTCACTTAGTATATTTTGGGCTGCCCATATCGAATCCGAGGTCGTTTTATATGTATGTGATCCCGTTTATGATGTAGATTTAGATCATCAGGATTACTTAAATGAGCTGGAATTGAGATTTTACGTCGCGACCACACACTTGATTATTTTAAGACATTCCAAGTACCTTTAATGCCGTTAATACTAGCGTAATATTAATAAAAAAAT